GTCACGTTCGACGAGTCGGTGTCGTACTACCGTCTCTTTCCCTACCGCACTGCCTCTCCCCCCCCCCCGCCACTCTTCCTGGCACCAGGTACTCCCCTGGTAGACCCCCTCCCCCCCCAGGGTCCTGCCCCCTCAGGTGTGTCCCAGGTAGACCCTGCCGAGCCGGTCGAGGTAGTTGTCGACTCAGGTGCTGCTAAGGGTGCTGAGTCTGGGGGTGCTGAGTCTGGGGGTGCTGAGACTGGGGGTGCTGAGTCTGGGGGTGCTGAGACTGGGGGTGCTGAGTCTGGGGGTGCTGAGACTGGGCGTGCTGAGCCTGGGAGTGTGGAGCCTGAGGGTACTGTGTCTGGAGGTACTGAGCCTGCGCGTGCTGCGTCTGGAGGTGCTCTAGGTGTCCCGTCGCGGCGGGAGCCCCTCTCTCCACAGCGTCTTCGTGAGTGGTACTCTCGGCGCTGTCGGGTTGCTGCTGGTGCTGCTGGTGCTGGGGCTGCTGGAGGTACTGGAGGTGCTACTGGAGCTACTGGAGGTGCTGGCGCTGTTGGAGGTGGTGCTGGTGCTGGAGCTGCTGGAGGTGCTGCTGGTGCTGGAGCTGCTGGAGATGCTGCTGGTGCTGGAGCTGCTGGAGGTGCTGCAGGTGCTGGTGCTGCTGGAGGTGCTGCTGGAGCTGCTGGAGGTGCTGCTGGGACTGGAGGCCCTGGGGCTGAGGGTACCGGTTCTGTCTCTGCTGACTCTGGAGGCGCTGCGCGGCCGCGGCCGTACTACGTTCCGCTCCTTCAGCAGGTTCTTGGCTCCCCACCTTCTCCTGGTCCTCCTCCTCCTTTCCTGAGTCCACCGCCTGTCCAGTCCCAGTCGCAGTTGCAGCCGGCCTCTCCGCTGCCTGGTCCTTCTCCTTACTCTGGTCCGACTAGAGGTCTTACGGAGCGTCGTGAGCCTGAGTCTCGTCCTGTGTCGCCTGAGTCTCGTTCTGTGTCGCCTGTCCGTCCTGTTCGCGCTGGTCGTGTTTCGCGTCCGCGTCTTCCTCCTGTCCCAGGCACTCACTCTATGACACTGCGTCCTTCTACTGCTCCACAGCGTGTCCCTCTGCCCTCTCCTCCTGCGTCCTCTCTTCCTGACGGTCCGGACCCGGAGTCTGACTCCCTTCGTGCTGCTAGTCCTACTGTCACGCGCTTTCTGGCCACTGCTGTCACTGACCCTCTGTTTGAGTCCTCTGCTACGTCTGCTCTTGTTGCTGAGCTTGTGGACTTTGCTGCAGCCTGTCGCCTAGACTACGCCGCTAGTCTTGTTGCTGAGTCTGCGTCTGCGTCTGTCTGTCCTCCGTCCGTCGGGGGTGAGTGTGCTCTTGGCACGGACGTCCTTGAGGACAGACAGGAGGACCTTGAGTGTTTTGCTGCTGCTTCACCTCATCTCGTGTCCATGCTGCTTGCCCCTGAGGGAGACCCGGATGCTCTAGACATCCCGACCCCGCGCTCTTACGCAGAGGCGATAGAGGGTCCCTACTCCTCTCAGTGGCAGGCAGCCATGGACGCAGAGATGGCTTCCTGGAAGTCCACAGGCACCTACGTAGACGAGGTTCCCCCACCTGGGGCGAACATCGTCAGTGGCACGTGGATCTTCAGGGTGAAGCGGCCGCCGGGTTCTCCGCCTGCCTTCAAGGCGCGTTACGTTGCACGTGGCTTCAGTCAGCGACAGGGAGTTGACTTCTTTCAGACCTTCTCCCCTACCCCGAAGATGACCACTCTTCGGGTACTGCTGCACGTTGCTGCTCAGCGTGACTACGAGCTCCACTCGCTTGACTTCAGCACAGCCTTCCTACAGGGCAGCCTGCACGAGGAGATATGGCTGCGCCGCCCACCTGGCTTCACTGGGTCGTTTCCTGCTGGTACCCAGTGGAGCCTCCGGCGGCCAGTCTACGGTCTCCGCCAGGCGCCCCGTGAGTGGCACGACACGCTCATGACGACTCTTGCTGCTCTCGATTTTGCTCCTTCCACTACTGACCCTTCTCTGTTTCTACGCACTGACGCTACTCTGCCGCAGTTCTACGTTCTTGTGTACGTAGACGACCTTGTCTTTGCTACTGCTGACACGGAGGCACTCGCCCACGCGAAGTCCGAGCTGCAGATAAGACACACGTGCACAGACCTGGGTGAGCTGACAAGCTATCTTGGCTTGCGGATCACCCGGGACAGAGCACAGCGCACCATTACCTTGACTCAGTCACACATGGTGCAGCAGGTCCTTCAGCGCTTCGGCTTCACGTACTCCTCGCCACAGTCCACTCCTCTGCCTACCGGTCACTCGCTCTCAGCTCCACCTTCGGACGAGTCCGTAGAGCCGAGTGGCCCGTATCCAGAGCTTGTGGGCTGCCTCATGTACCTGATGACTTGCACACGACCTGACCTCGCATACCCTCTCAGCCTTCTGGCTCGCTATGTGGCTCCCGGTAGGTACCGAAAGGTGCACTGGGATGCTGCGAAGAGGGTGTTGCGATACTTGTGCAGTACATCGGGCATGGGGCTCGTGCTTGGAGGACGGGCTCGAGTTGTCCTCACTGGTCACGCTGACGCCTCCTGGGTTGACGACTTGGCTACGCAGCGGTCGTCACAGGGTTACACCTTCAGTCTTGGCTCCGGCTCTGTTTCTTGGCGGTCTACCCGCTCTTCTTCTGTTCTCAGCTCCAGTTGTGAGGCTGAGATCTACGCTGGAGCCATGGCTGCACAGGAGCTTCGCTGGCTCACCTACCTGCTGACCGACTTGGGAGAGGCACCTCGTTCTCCTCTAGTTCTGTACGTCGACAACAAGGCCATGCTGGCCTTGTGTCAGGAGCACAGACTGGAGCACAGAACGAAGCACATTGCTCTGCGCTACTTCCTTGCTCGAGAGTTGCAGCAGCGTGGCCAGCTTCGTCTTGCTTACGTGGCCTCTCAGGCCAACACTGCTGATGTTTTCACCAAGGCACTTCAGCCTTGTGATCATCAGCGTTTCTGTACTGTGTTAGGCCTTGTACCTACTGTGCCTCACTTGTTGACTTCTTGACTCTGCTTGTACTGTACTCTATATACTTATACCTGCATGCTTACACTTGCTAGGTTGTGTTCACTGTATTGTTTGCTTTCCTTTATATAACTCTGCATGTGAACTGGCCTTATGGCCCTTTGCTTGTGCTCAGACTGTGTGGTGACTTTGTGATCCACCCTGAGTTTGCTTTGCCTTTCTTGACTGGTCTTGTGACCTCTTGTTCTCCCCCACTTTGCCTATGGGGGTGTGTCAAACTTATATCTGCTATAGTCTATTTAGGCTGTAGTGGGGTAGCTCTTAGAGGGTACAACACTTATGTTTTCTACTTGTACCCATCTCATTTTCTAGTTCATTCATTCTTTCGTCAATTATCTCACACGTCGGTGCGGTGCATGCTAGGCAATCGCCCACCTGCTGGATGTTAGCGAGCGTCAAAGACCCTTGGTTATTGATGCTTTCTTTCACCCACGTGCTTCACCTCACCATCTCCAGTGCTTGTTTGAGCTCTTGCTACCAACCCTTCTCTGCTCGGCAAGCTCTCTGGTCCCGCCATGGCTGTTCAGAACGAGACGATGCACCCGTCACCAATGACGATAACGATGGCTGTCACGCTGACGGTGGTGTGTGGGATGATGCTGGAACGGGCCCAATTCTTTTTCGTTTAGCTTACTAGCACACGAGAAAACGCCTCGTGTTGGTTCCGCTAAGCACACTGTCGATCAAACTTGAGCCACTACTCCTACGACGCGCTACATCCGACTCAAGCAGGCGAAAATAAAGTTGGCACAACCCATCGAAGATGTCAACAATGATGCTATTTAAAGGTACAAGTCTCGGTGGTCCACTCGGTTTCCTTTGCTTGTACTAGCAAAAACCATCATCGGGTTGCCTGCGTTTAAGTACAGGGTATGTTCAGTCCATGCTGGCGATGCTGAGAATCACGGGAGGCATGGGAAAGGTGCAACTTACGTGTTGCAGACCCAGTCCATCCGTAAGCACGCCGGTGACAAGAGGCACAAGGAGGCGATGGTGAAGTTCACCATGCTCGTCGACTGCAGGACAAGGCAGCCTACAACGAGCTACCGTACAGTCTACACAGGAGATCATGCATATGACAGCGATAATGATGCATGTGTTTGAGTTCGTACAATAGTTACTATATGCTTGGATGTAATGTAATGTGCCTTTGAAACCATGAGACCACCAGATCTTGCAAACACCATCAGACTTTTCACTTGTGTCAACTCTGAATGATCAGACTTTTTTTTTAATGGACTCTGAAATTTCAGCTTAGTTTTGTTTACCGAGTCTGATTGATCAGACTGAAATCTTGTACTAAGTCTGAGAAATCAGACAGCTCAAAAACGAATATGAGGGCCTGCTTCCAGAATTCTCAACGCTGGCAACCTGGAAGCAGGGCGGAGTGTGTTGTCCGTCTAAAGCGTGGAGGCACGATGCCATCCTGACATCACCAAGATCCCTAGTCACTTCCAGGATTACACTAACCCTATTATCTAACAATCTTGAACATAAATTTGCGAATACCTGAATCAAGCCTAAAATTATATTGCTTGATTGAAGACAACGCAGCATTTCTTGTTTGCTATTCCAAGCAATAAAATCATCCTCTTTACACAAGTTAGTGCATCAACAACAAGCTGATGCTACTTTCACTACTCTCCCTTTACCATGCCTCTTTTGAGGCCAAATCACAGCCTGTAACCTCACCTCACTCGTGTGCTGTGGGTGGGATCCACCAAGGTGGATCGCAACCTTTCTACGCCCCTTCTCCATGCGATGTTGATGGCGGGAGGGCACAGGTGAAAGGACGACGGTTGGATAAGTTGCTGATGGAGAGAGGAAGAGGCCCGGAGGGAGGTGGCGGAAGGGTGGTGGTGAGAGTGGAGTCTCACAGGGGGGAGAGCGGTGAAGAGAGAGAGAGGGGAGAATCAGGTACGAGGGAGCATGGTGGAGAGGAGGGAGGGGGATCAGACGGGGGGGAGGCAGCGGCGGCAGGTGGGGCATTCCATTTTGATGTCCATCCAGCGCTGCAGGCATGCCGTGTGGAACATGTGGTCACAGGGGGTGACCTGCATTGGGGGGGATGGATGATGGATAGACAGGGAACAGCACAGGCAGACAAGGTCAACACTGCAGGCATGCCGTGTGGAACATGTGGTCACAGGGGGTCACCTGCATGGGGGGGTGATCGATAGATAGTGCACAATACAGGTAGTCGAGATCAATGGAGTGACAAGTGATGGGGATGCACATGACATTAGTGTTTTGGGGAGTTGCTGCAAATAGGAATGCCATGCCAAACCAAGCGGCTGATCAAGACGTCAAACCATGCGATCCAAGGGGTGAGAGGTGATGGGCACCGGCGTGGCGACATGCAGAATATGACTGTGTTGCAGGTGATGGGCACGGGAGATGCATGACCATGCGACTTGAATAAGACAAAACAAGCCATCCATCTTACCATGCGGTATATGGAGTGGGAGGTGATGGGCACGGGATGCAGATGACACAGTCTGCCAGCCCACTGTCATCCACATCACCCCTCTAACTCGAATAAGACAAAATAGGCCATCCGACTCACCATGCGGTCCATGGAGTGGGAGGTGATGGGCACGGGCGTCATGCAGATGACGCAGTCTGCCGGCCCGCTGTCATCCGCGTCGCTGCTCTGGCGCATGAGGCATGACACTCGGCGGAAGTATGAGTACTTCTCAGGGAGGAACTGGAGGGGATGGGGATGGTGGTGGGGAGCATGGGGGCATGGGAGCATGTGAGGGGCGTGGAGTGCATGGGTCATCATGCCTATCATGGCCATCGTCGTCGCTGCTCTGCCGCATGAGGCATGACACGCGGCGGATCTAGGAATACTTCTTAGGGAGGAACTGGTGGGGGGGAAGGGGAACGGGAGGCATGGGAGCATGGCAATATTTGAGCAACGTAAGAATGTGAGGGGCGCGTCATGCTTAGCAACACAACACAAACAGCCTCGTCTAATTGATTGCCTACCATGTAACCTAGCGACTTTACTACATCCAGCCAGCCACTCACCTGTTTAGGAATGAACCAGCGAGGTCCCAGATAGTGCTGCAGCAGCAGCGCCGCCACCTGCGCCCCCATGAACGCAATCAGGGCAGCACACCACGCGGGACTCGGCTCCACCCGCATGAAGTTTTTCGGGCAGCCGAAAATGTAGAGCGGGATGGCGAGGCGGGTGGCGGACATGCCCAGGATGTAGTGCACGTGGAGGGGCTTGCGCGAGTCCCTTATAACGGATGTGACTATCTGGGGGATCCAGAAGGAGTAGAAGAGCAGCAGCAGGTAGCGCAGCGCCGTGCTGAAGCGGTAGATGAGGAGAATTCCCCCTAGGAGGAAGCCGTCTGGCAAAGGGGAGAAAACGGGGGAAAGGCGGGGAATAGGCGGGGCGGGGTGCTAAGGGAAACAAGGGGTATGGGTGAGGAGGGAGTAGAAGAGCAACAGCAGGTAGCGCAGCGCCGTGCTGAAGTGGTAGATTAGGAGAATGCTGCCTAGAAGGAATCCGTCCGGTGGGGGAGGGGAAGGTGATCCGTTCCAAAGGCAATCAACCCCCAACATGTGCGTTTCGTCCCAGCGAGACACTCAGCACTCACAGAATCGCGAGTAGAGGATGGACAGTTCCCTCCGCATGAGGTCCCAGCTCTCAGAGGACTGCGCGGGGCGACAAGCCCTCCCGCATGCGGACACGTATTGCAGTCACTCAACCACCTGATACCTTCCTTCCTTCCCATCGATCACGGCACTCACAGAAGCGAGAGTAGAGGATCGATAACTCGCGCCGCATGAGGTCCCAGCTCTCCGAGGACTGCGCGGGGCGGCGGGCCTTCCAGATGGCGAGCAGGTAGCGCATCTCGAATATGGAGAAGATTACAAACTTGAAGAATGCTGCTGTGGCAAAGGCATTGAACAGGGACTCCGCTCCTGGTGAGGGAAAGGAACAGTGCAGGGGGGAACATGGCACACAGCACAGGGCACGGGGCACAGTGGGGAATGAGTGGAAAGCCTTCCAGATGGCGAGCAGGTAGCGCATCTCGAATATTGAGAAGATTACAAACTTGAAGAAGGCTGCTGTTGCAAATGCATTGAATAGGGACTCCGCTCCTGGAGAGGGGCGAGGGGCACAGGAGAGGGCAGCGGGCAGGGGGCAGGGGGCAGGGGGCAGGGGGCAGGGGGCAGGGGCCAGGGGGCAGGAGGGCGCAGGGCATGGGGGATATCAGTTTTGAGACGTCTCAAAACGGGGGCTATCAGCAACAGGCCTTCCAGATGGCAAGCAGGTAGCGCATCTCAAAGATGGAGAAGATGACAAACTTGAGGAATGCTGCTGTGGCGAATGCATAAAACAGAGGCTCCGCTCCTGGTGGGCGGAGGGGTGGGGGCGCAGGCAGGGGGCACACAGCAAAGGGCATAGGGCATGGGGCATGGCACATGGGGCACTGGGCACGGGGCATGGGAGGCACGAGGACTTCAAACGCTGCTGCTGCAGAGACGTGGGGGAATGGCTTGACTTACCAGCCACGATGCCGGCTGTGAGGTGCAGCAGGCAGATGACTTGACTTACGCAACCATGATGGCCTGCTGGTGCTGGTAAGGCACTGCATGCATGGCAGTGCAGCTCATGGCAGTGCAGCTCATGGCAGTGCAGCTCATGGCAGTGCAGCTCATGGCAGTGCAGCTCATGGCAGTGCATGCAGCTCATGGCAGTGCAGCTCATGGCAGTGCATGCAGCTCATGGCAGTGCAGCTCATGGCAGTGCATGCAGCTCATGGCAGTGCAGCTCATGGCAGTGCATGCAGCTCATGGCAGTGCAGCTCATGGCAGTGCAGCTCATGGCAGTGCAGCTCATGGCAGTGCAGCTCATGGCAGTGCAGCTCATGGCAGTGCAGCTCATGGCAGTGCAGCTCATGGCAGTGCAGCTCATGGCAGTGCAGCTCATGGCAGTGCAGCTCATGGCAGTGCAGCTCATGGCAGTGCAGCTCATGGCAGTGCAGCTCATGGCAGTGCAGCTCATGGCAGTGCAGCTCATGGCAGTGCAGCTCATGGCAGTGCAGCTCATGGCAGTGCAGCTCATGGCAGTGCAGCTCATGGCAGTGCAGCTCATGGCCTGCCGACATACCAAGGCACTACATGGCAGTAGGAGAACAGCAGCTTACCGACTACAATGCCGGCTGTGAGGTGCAGCAGGCAAAGGTACGCATCCATGATGGCCTGCTGGCTGGCTCGCTGGAGGCGTGCTTATACGGACACCATGAAGACACTATAACGAGGATAGCTTCACTTACCGACTACAATGCCAGCTGTGAGGTGCAGCAGGCAAAGGTACGCATCCATGATGGCCTGCTGGCTGGCTCACTGGAGGCGTGCTTATACGGACACCATGAAGACACTGTAACGAGGATAGCTTCACTTACCGACTACAATGCCGGCTGTGAGGTGCAGCAGGCAAAGGTACGCATCCATGATGGCCTGCTGGCCCACCATCAGCATTGAAACCTTGGCTGCTCCCTGCAATGTGGTGATGGGCGGAAGGGGGGGAGAGGGGAGGAGAGAGGAGAGAACAAGCAGTTGGCTCACGCGCACTCATAAGTACTCCCAACGTCAGCCTGAAGGTCCATGATGGCCTGCTGGCCCACCATCAGCATCGATACCTTGGCTGCTCCCTGTGGTGATGGGAGGTGGAAAGGGGGGGGTGAGGATGGAGGAGAGCGGAAAATAGAGTGGTGATGATAAGAAACAGAAAGAGCAGCACAGCAAGAACAGCAGCGCAGGAGCATGGGAACAAGGGGAGAGGTACGCTAAGCGTTAGAGGGAGAGAAGGGAAGAGGTGAATAAGGGGCATAGGAAGGAAAGGAAGAGGTATAAAATGCACTGATTCCGTGGGGAATGGGCGAGAGAACCGGGAGGAGAACCAGCAGCACAGAAGAGAGGCATGCGAATGCAGAGGGCATGGAAAGGAGAAGAGGACCGTTACACACTGATTGAGTGTTGCTGTGCTCCATCTGGCGAATGATGAAGAGCACTTGCAGGAAGGAGATCTGCACACGTGCAGCAGCAGCGGCGACGGCGGCACCGGCGGCGGTGGCAGAAGACACATGGGCAAGGAGGGGGGGGGTTAGCACAGGTGCATGGGCAAGAACAGAGCAACGAAAGAGAGGGGCGGAGAAAAAGAGAGGGGCAGCAACAAGGCATGGCGAAGGGGCAGGGAGCAGCAGCAGCAGCAGCAGCAGAACGGGAATCACAAAAATGGGCCCGAGTGTGGTGTTGACCTTCTCATGATCCGCCTCTATGGCTACAAGTGTAGACCAACAGGCTTTGCCATAAGTCTCAAGGAACTCACGAATGTGACCATGAGGGTATAGTTGACAGCCTTATTATAGTACGCCTCCAGGTCAACAGCAGTGGCGTTGATCCTCAGAGTCGCAAAGCACGGCGCCCCACTCTCATCCGCCTCCCCCTCCTCCTCCCCTCCCCCCATGGCCCCCCTCCGCCCCACCGGATCCTCTGCTGCTACCAGGGCAGCGTCCGCCTCCCACGATTCCCCCACCCCGCCCATTCCCCCCATCCCCCCCCGTCCCCCCTTGCTTTCCGCCAGAAGCTCCGACCCCCCTATCCCTGAGCTCAACCCTCCCCCGCCCCCTACCCCCAACCCCAGCCCTAGCCCCACTCCTATCCCTGCCAACCCTGCTGCGTTTGCGGCACCAGCAGCAGCACCACCGGCACCAGCTGCAGCTGCTGAGGCAGCAGCAGCAACTGGTCTAAAGAAGGAATGGCGAGAGGCAAAGGAGGCGCCAGGGCTGTCCTCTTGCACGCTCTCCACGAATCCCTGCATCTGACTCGGCACATGCTCCTGCACTCCGTCTGGTGGGGGGGATGGGAAGGGGGGGGGGGGAGGAAGGGAGGCGGGAGAGGGAGTGAGGAGGCAGCAACTGGTATCAGCATGTGGGTGGGGAGGTAGAGAATGACTCGCCACAGAGAAGAGTGGGTGGGGACAGGAAGGCAAGGAAACGAGAAGACTGGCGGCGGTTGGCCGAGGGTAGGGAGGGAGGAGGGGATGCTGTGAGTTTGGTGGTTGAGTGCGAGCAAGTGAGTGATGGAAGGGTGCGGGCGAAAGGGAGAGGGCGGGAGCTAGAGGGCGGAAGGGCGACTCACTTCGCCACTCCCACACGGCGGGCGAGACGTGCGTGATCATTCTGATCTTGCAGTTCCTCGCCATCTCCACCACCGCTGCTGCACGCATGAGGGCGCGGGGAGGGGGGAGACGAGGGGAAGAAGGGGAAACGGAGTGACAGAACAGGATGGGTCAGTCAGAAAAGAAATGGGAGGGCACATGTGAGGGGCAAGTGGAGACGGGCGGGTGGTATGGCAAACGGCGTCGGGCAAAAACAGAGAACGCGCGGCCGGTTGGAATAGCACGCATAATGCAAGGCGGGCGGAGCATTATGAGGGGAACAATGCGCGGCGAGAAGGGATGGGAAAGGGTGATACAACGAGCAACGAGAAGGCAATAAGCGAAGAGGGAGTGGCGTCGGAGAAGGCGTGGGGGGGAAGAGGGCGAGGATCGGAGAAGGCGTGGGGGGGGAGAGGGCGAGGATCGGAGAAGGCGTGGGGGGGGAGAGGGCGAGGATCGGAGAAGGCGTGGGGGGGGAGAGGGCGAGGATCAGAGAAGGCGTGGTGAGGGAGAGGGCGAGGATCGGAGAAGGCGTGGGGGGGGAGAGGGCGAGGATCGGAGAAGGCGTGGGGGGGGAGAGGGCGAAGATCGGAGAAGGCGTGGGGGGGGAGAGGACGAGGATCGGAGAAGGTGTGGGGGGGGAGAGGGCGAAGATCGGAGAAGGCGTGGGGGGGGGGAGGGCGAGGATCGGAGAAGGCGTGGGGGAGAGTGTGGGAGGGCCTTACTGTGATCTGGAGATCCCTGGCCTCGTTTACTGGAGTCGTGCAGTTCCTGCAGAACGAGAAGAGGATAGGCGGGAAAGGTGGGGAGGGGGGAGGGAGAGAGAGAGGGAGAGAGAGAGGGGGGGAGGGGGGGGGAGGGGGGGGGGGAGGAAGCGAGCGAAGTACAGCAGCTGTGAGTCATACTATGATCCGAGAAAAAAAAAAAATCTGCAGCACACGTGCAGTGTCCCAACCGTGCCGTGTGCTCACAGGGAACGGGAAAAGGATGGAACCAAACGACCAAATCAGCGACTGTTACCAAACGACCAAATCAGCGACTGTTACCAAACGACCAAATCAGCGACTGTTACCAAGCGATCAAACAGAAACAAATACCTTGAGACTCACCAGCTAACGGCTAGTCTTCTAAAAGTCTCAAAAAAACACAACCAACTCACCAGGCGACCCCGCCAAACTCACCAGCTGGTAGCCGTTGGCGGCGCTCTCTTCGTCCACTTCTGTGGAGTCCGCTCCCGCCGAGCTGCGCGCGCACGGAGAAGAAATAAGGGGGGAGGAAGAGTGCAAACAGCACAGGAGAGGATGGTGCAAAGAGGGGTGGGGGAGGTTGGGGCGGGGGGCGAGGGGAGGAGAGAGTGGAGGGAAGAGGGGGCGGGAGGGAATGGGAGGGAGGCGGAGAGGGGGGAAGGGGAAGGGGGATGGAGGAGAGCGTGTGTACTTCTGGATGGAATAGCCGAAGCGTTACAAGGAAATGCGAAGCAGTTTCTGGGCGACAAATTCACTTCAGAGGAGACAACGGGAGCTAGGGGAAAAAAAGGGAAATCGACCAGGAGGGTCAAGTTAGAGCTTCGAGAAACACACGGTATGGGACGGAACGACGCACCTGCTAAGAACCATTCTAAGGTGGCCGAAGGGGCGGAGGTAGACCCCTTCGAGCTTCATATGCACGTCTCCGTCGCTAATATACATGCCGTCCCGCAACACCACCTCTCCCTGCAAGCCGGCAGAATCGCATGAGGGGATCACGAAATATCTCACTAAACGTCGCTAACGTAATGGGAACACCGGAACATCTTGCAAACGTACATATCAATGATTGCCGCGTTTCACAATACCACCCTGACCTGCCAATAAGTCACGGTGCGCGCCGGCAGCACGATGCGCAGGTCTCAGAGCAGAGAGCGGGGGGGGGGGGAAGCGGGCGTGCACAGTGGCAGTAACCATATCGCACGCAGCATTGACAGGCGAGGGTCGCAAAATGATCAGGATGCAGCGACGAAGACACGCGACGAGCCGACGAAACTTCGCTTTCCAGTCAACGAGTGCCTTGGCATGTGCCTTGGCACCCACTGTGGATGCTAATGAAGAACCGCCAGGCGCTTCACCCCCACCCCCAACACCCCTCCCCTCTCTCACACACACAAAGACCGGAACCCCAACAGGCTAAGACCGGCTCCCTCACCAAGAAACCGCCAGACGTAAATCCAGACCGTACCCTTGTCATCTGAATCGGCAGGATCAACCCCGGGGGCTTAGCATATAGAAAGTTCTAGAGAATCTAACAGGTCGTCCCAATCGGCTGGAAGCAGCAGGCGCTCACACGGACGTAGTGAACCTCGGGACGAGTTTTGAGGCGCCTCAAAAGTCGTGCTTAGCATATAGATAGTTCTAGAGAACCTACGGAGGAAGCAGCAGGCGCTCACATGGACGTAGTGAACCTCGGGACGAGCCGTGCTGCTGGTCTTTAATTGGAAAATAATATTTCCAGAGTTCTTCTGCAGGTCCGGGAATCGCGACGACGAGGAGTTCCGCGCGACCTCCCATGTGCCTGCGACACAGCACGGTACACGCTATCCGCGTTAGGAGATGCCGCGATAAGGATCCAACCAGCGTGATGCGACAAAATGGCAGCTGCGTCTGATGGGAGGAAGCTTCCTGATTCACCTTTGTATGTTCCTGAGATATTCGAGGGGAATATCTTGAGATTCGACAAGTCGGTGGTTTCCACGATTTCCGAGACGAGTGGCCGCAAACTCCACTGATAGTAATGAGAGAGGGGAGACGGGAGGGAGGCGGCGGGGGAAATGGCGCGGGAAAAAGCGTAGGAGACGGCGATGGGTTGGAAGGCGCATGCGGACAAGTGAGGCGGAGCAAAACGGAGAAGAACGTCAGTCTTGAAGCTTCTAGCGAATGGAGCACGAACGTTGGCGGCTCTAACGTATAGTGCAGTCAAAAGTACCTACTCAACTAGTCAAAAGTACCTAACATAAGGCAAATTCAGAATACAATCTCAACATTCCAGACAGGATCCAACGTGATAATGGTTCCACGTTTCCGCTAATATAGAGCACCGTGTAGTCCCAATAAGTAATCCTAAGTGGTGCAACACGTGAAGGAAGCATAACTAAACGTGTCTTAGCGGCAGGTAACGGCAAACACACCTCGTCTTCCCAAAGGGGGAGTTCAGAATCTAGTAGCTTTTCTCGGATTGGTCGAGAGGCGAGTTGTCTACATGGATAGGATAGTAGCACTGCGAAACCTATCAACCAGTGCCATCTAGGACGAGGTTCCCGCCTCGTCATAATGCCTAACCAGCAGACAGTCTAACAGGAGAGTCTTATTCTGCAGTCCATCCAACAGATTCGCACAAACCCTAACTTCCACTGGAGACGGTACAAAAGCGTATTATTCGACAAACGCTTCACGAAAAATGACTACTAACAAACGATTTGGAAGAAGACGACACACGAGAGGTGTTCGCCATCTAGGTCAGAACTGAGCTAAACTGGCGAGGAGAATAAAGACGAGTGCGGTCAGTCACGAGACGCGAGGAGCGGGGAGGAAGACTGGACGAGCATAGAAGCACAGATGACGAAAGCAGGGAGGAGAAAGCGGGATGCCGAAAGCGCAAGGCAGAATCGAGGAAGGAAGAAGGATGACGGTCATGGTAGATTGGTGTTGACTCCACAACCACACACCACCGTATGATAACACAATAAAACATACCAAACCATAAGAAACCGTTTTATCACCAACGCGAGCACCACGCCTGAACAGTTTCAACCAGAAAGCCAGGTGAGTTTTCCAGACGTGTCAAACAAGCCCCTCCGAGTTCGATCTGCTCTCGGCCCCCACTGGTTTGCTGCACTTGTTTCTCCATCCGCCCTCCTCTCCTTTTCCGCCTTTCCGCCTACCCTTGCAGCATCCGCTCCGCAGAGAAAACCAGGGCACGAGGCCCTGGGAGGAGCCAGGCCAGCCCAGGGTTGACGGCGGCGGAGAACACAACAGACTTGGTGACGGCGGGGCTCAGCCTGGGGCGCTGGCGAGGTACGGAAGGGCTGGGGAAAAGGTTGGTGGTGGCTCGACGGAAGAGGCGGAGGGAGGGGAACCTAGGCCGGGCACAGCGAAATTCCAGACTGCACGCCCTGGTCTCAAACTGAACGCCCCAACCTGTTTTGGCGGAGGAAGCGAGGTGTGGACCAGACCTGTCGGTTTGCCCGTCGGTCTGAAAAAATGGGCGCAGATTCTTCCGCCGACAGCGGAATGGTTCTGATCTAATCTTGTTGGGGGCGGGGATTTGCAGGGAGGACCCAAACGGTGGCTAGCGCAACCTCTCGCATGCTCGCGCCACGCCGCAGAGACACTGGACAAGCGCAGATTGCTGATATCGAGGCGGCTGCCCAGAGCGCGGAAGCAAAGGGGCGATGGTGGGGCGGCGGAGGGGCTGAGCCTGGAAGCGGTTCGGGTGTGGAAACTGTGGCTGATGAGTGGTGAACGAGTTTCCTAGTGCGACGTCTCCAAGACGGTTGAGCTTCGCCTCGGCGTTGCAAAAACGCAGTTTGCGACAAGCTGTTCCAACAGTGCGACGGGTCGTGCGACTAGCATTTCCGAAATCCTGCGCGTACTAGTCAAATGTTTCTAGACGGGCGACAACTTCGGTTGGTGGTGAACGACCCCCTGTTACGAGTGCAATTGAGCGAGAGAGCGAGAATTGCACTATCGAAGCAAAAACAATACAATGAGCGAAGGCATGCACAAAGAATATATAGCGAACTAGAGTGGTAACGGTAACGCGAGGAAATGGGGTGCGCTACGGGCCTAGCGCCGAGGTTGGGAAATGTCGAGGCGGAGGTCCGGAGCGCGGGTTACCAACCGAACCGTGAGTTTGGGTGGCATCATGAATGGTGGCGGGAGTCGTAGTCGAAGCGACTGTCGCGAGCGGCTAATGTTTCACTGTTACCGTAATCACCCGGACATACCACCCGCCGAAATTGTAGACCCCCCGGGTGGCTTGTGCGGGGTGGGTGTTATAGTTGACCCCGTTTGTACTATACCCCTCCTTTTGGGGTGATTTTTTATAACACCCCCTTTTTTACACAGAATGTCTTATTTTAGGTGTTAACGAGTATGTGCAATGACGGGGGGACATCGCGACGATCACTTTTTGCACGAAATTACATGGTAATTTCGAAAGTATCTGCTGGGTTCACCTCCGTCCCACTTTTTCACTGTTGCCACGCTGGTAGTTCTTTCGCTATCAAGTGGCCAAAGAGGTGCCACCTCGCAACTTCAAGGAGGAGTCAATGTTGTCGTCGAAACTGACAATCTCGCTTCCAACTGTGATGCTAAACCAACCTTGAAAACACCCAAGCTGCCTATTTATAGAAACCCTTATACTAAAAAAATGTCATATATATGCACCCGGGTGGTATGTAGCTTTTTCCTATGAGAAGACCCCCCCCATTTTTTTGCTGTATTTAAAGTAAGACCCTAGGGTGTTACCGTATGGCCCCGGATAAAAGCGCATATGCGCTTATAATAAGTTAATTTTTTCAAGGGTGGCGCTTGTAATTGAGGAACGGCCATAAGCGCCGGCGCTTATATAATGACAAATACAATTTTTATCTTTAAAGGTACCAAACTGTACCTTTCGTTGTAGCCATTTCAAACGAGTCGAACTATTATAGCGTCACAAAGCAGAATCGCGCGCAAGCGATTCTGCTTCCTGTACACGGGCAAATTCGCGTCACTTTGCAGGCATGCCAGCACATCCTGACTGGACGCGCAGACAGTCAGGTCTTCGCGAGTCAAACAAAGCGAAAATGAAATTTGACTCGCTGCAAAACTGAAATTCGTTACCGATTTAAACTGATATTTAAATGAAAATTGCACACGGCGCTTATAATAAGTAATGGTTTTCCAGGGGGGGCGCTTATAATCGAGGATCGGCCATAAGCGCCATGCTCCAGATAGAAGCGCCGGCGCCTGTAATAGGCCGGCGCCTATATCCGGGGCCATACGGTATGTCCGGGTGATTACGGTAGGTGCCGATGGCAGGAATGGTCGTGTATGCGGTAAGCAGGGGCGCGAAGTAAGGAAAAGATTTTTTCCTTACACTACCCCCCTCCCCAATGAGACCCTCCTTACGAGAGCGCGTGTACATCTCGAAATTTTCGGCTGCGCAGATACTCGGTGACGACAGGGTGGTTCTCAATTCTATCCAGGGGAACCCAGTTGTATTCGGTGGGCGTGCGGTCTTTCTAGCGGATCAGGAATTCGTACCTGCGGGCTCCCCGTGGGTCACATACTCGGTGGCTCAATATTTTTTCGGGCGTGATGATTGGCTCTGTCGGCTGTCGTGTCATGCCGGCGGGGCGGTTGCGAGGCAGTTGGCTGGTGGATGGGATATACGGGCGAAGCAGGCTGACGTGGAATGACGGGCTGACGTACCAGTCAGCAGGGAGGACGAGGTGGGCGGTGATGGGGGTGATCATGTGGCTGATGCGAAATGGCCCGCAATAACGGGGGCAGAGTTTTGGAGTGATGGGTAGGCGGAGGTTTTGAGTGTTGAGTAAGATTAGGTCGTCTGGTTGGTAAGTGACGGGGCGGCGGTGGCAGTCGGCGTTGCGCTTAGCGATGACGTTTGAATTTTTTATTGCTTCTGCTGCTCGGGTCCGTGCTGCCTGTAATATTTCTACGAACTGTTGTGCACGTGGTACTGGGTTGTTGAGATTCGGGGTCATGGGTACTGTGGGGTCTTGTCCGTAATTCAGGTAAAACAGTGATTGTTAGGTCGTGGCGGATGGCGAGTTGTTGTACGCGAACTCGATGAGTGACAGCTGCTGTTCCCATCTGGTCGGGTCGTCGCACGTGGCTCGAATCAACTGTTCCACAGTTTGGTTTGCCCGTTCTGTCTGTTTGTCTGTTTCGGGTGTCAGATTTATATGACATAGCTACTGTAGGCTATAGTGGGGTAGCACATATGGGGTACAGTTTTCTAGGGTTCACATTTGTACCCAACTTTCCCTTAGTCAATTCATTCCTCGTTTCTTATCATGGTATCGAGCAGGTTCCCTAGTGGGAACGATTCCTAGGGCCCACCACCACGAATTTTTTTTTCCTGCCCGGAGCGCGCTTCGCTCCGGCCCGAGTCGCGCCCTGTGTGCTCTCCCTACCGTTGCGCCCTCGCTAGGCCCCTCACGGCCCCGTCGCGTCGCCCTTAGCGGCCCTCTCACGGCTCCCTAGCGCCGCCCTTACGGCTCGTCGCGCCGCCCTTACGGCCCGTCGTGCCCGTCGCGCCGCCCTCACGGCCCCTCGTGCTGCCGTTACGGCCCCTCGTGCCGCCCTTACGGCCCCTCGCGCCGCCCTTACGGCCCCTTACGGCCCCTTACGGCCCCTCACGCTACCCTTACGGGCCCTCCCGCGGCCCCTTCGGCCCCTCCCGCCGCCAGTCGGCCCCCCTTACGGCCCCCTCGCGGCCCCTCGAGCCGCCTTCCGCGGCCTCCTCACGGCCCGTCGCCGCCCTCGACGGCCCCTCGTGGCGCCCTTCACGGCCTCTCCGCCGCTCTTCGCGGCCCCTAGCGGCCGGCAGCCGCCGTCCCTGAGGCAGCAGCCGCAGCCGTCTCTGCAGCAGCAGTCGCCACAGCTTCTGCGACTGCTGCCGCGACCAGCCGCCGAGCCGCCCAGCAGCCGAGCACCCGAGCCGCCGAGCCGCCCTGCAGCCGAGCAGCCGAGCCGCCGAGCCGCCGAGCCGCCCAGCAGCCGACCGCCGAGCCGCCCGGGCCGCCGAGTCGCCGAGCCGCCCGAGCCGCCCGAGCCGCCGAGTCGCCCGAGCCGCCCGAGCCGCCGAGCCGCCCGAGCCGCCGAGTCGCCGACCCGCCGTCCTGCCGAGCCGCCGAGCCGCCGAGCCGCCCGAGCCGCCCTGTCCGGTAAGAGCAGCGCCTCTATCACTGCACTGCCCTTACCCTACTGTTCGCACTGCTAGTCTACTGCTGTCATGGCTACCCCTAGTGTCCTCGCCTTTGACGCTGAGGGTCGGGCCATTGACTTTGACGTCTGGGTAGATGACCTGCAGCTTTTCTTACAGTGCGATAGGGCAGACGGTCTCTCCCTCTTTGACCTCACCTCTGGTGCCTCTCCTGCCCCTGCTGCTGCTGCTGTTCGCTCACAGTGGGCCACACGCGATGCTGCTGCACGTCTAGCTGTGCGTCGCCACCTGCCTACCTCTGAGCGTGCGCACTTTAGCCAGTACAAGAGTGCTCACACCTTGTACGACGCTGTAGTTGCGCGCTACTCCTCCCCT